GGAGAGGGATAGAGAGTTAGAAACATCAATCAGTTGCCTCCTGCACACTCCCTACTGGGTATGTGCCCACAACCAAGAATCGAACCTGGTACCCTTCAGTCCGCAGGTCGACGCTCCATCCACTGAGCCACACCGGTCAGGGCGCATCTGTGTTTTTTCCTGAACATTCCTGCCAGCCCACACGAGTTACCTCATGCTCCTTTGCAGTCAGCCCCCACCACCCCGTCCCAGCAAACACTTCGGTTTGGCACACATAGGATTGTACTGTGTACACTTTGGGGTCAGGCACACGTTTCTGGTTCCTGCAATGGGGGGACTCGTGGGTTTGTGGGGGGCTCACTGGAGGGTCGGGGGGCATGAGCAGGGCTTTGGGCTCAGGCTGTCTCCCTGTAAACCACTCCCCATCACCAGCCGTGTGACCTGGGCAAGCGGGGACGGCTCCCTGCAGCCTCCTCACCTGTGGAAGGAGGGTAAATCCCGACCACGTGTCTCGTGCCGCTCTGTGTGGGTGTGTCTTTTGTAAGCAGCACACGCCTGGAATTGTAAAGAGCCCGTCTGCAGAGATAAGCAATGAAGCCAGTATTAACTGTACAACCTAGGAAGTGGGTGTTTGGATGCAGGCTGTACGATTCTTCCCGTTTTCCTGCATGGTTGAAATTTTTTGTAATAAAATGTAAAAAAAGCGAAACAAAACAAAACGGAGCCTCTGGGCTGTGTGTGTCTGTGTCACACCGTAACGGGCCGTCCAGAGGAGAGGAATGGGGAGGGCGGCACGCCTGGACGCTGCTCTGCCGTCCAGCCACACGCAGGCACTCACCGGTGTCGCCAGAACCCGCCACTGGTTACCAGCAGGGGGCGCACTCACAGCAGGCTGGTGTCCAAAGTTTCCAAGCCTGGCTTTCCTGTGGGAACCTTTTATAACAGCGGTTCTCAACCTGTGGGTCGCGACCCCTTTGGGGGTCGAACGACCCTTTCACAGGGGTCGCCTAAGACCATCGGAAAACACATATATAATTACATATTGTTTTTGTGATTAATCACTATGCTTTAATTATGTTCAATTTGTAACAATGAGATTGGGGGTCACCACAACATGAGGAGCTGTATTAAAGGGTCTCGGCATTAGGAAGGTTGAGAACCACTGTTTTATAACGATGCAAAGCTCCGAGTTAAAGCCAGCCTGGCCACGCCGGCCCGCGTGTTACCAGCGCCCGCAGAGGCCTCGAGCTCTGCCTCCCTCTCACCTGCGCCCATCACCTGTGTGTGACCCCACCTCACGCCCTTGGCTTCTGTACCTGTGACAGGTGGGGTCCTGGCAAAGCTTCCAGGCAGCGTGCCCTGAATGAGCCGACCTCGCCTCCCATCTCCCCCGTCCCTGCCCAATGCGGGGGGACTCACTGCACCCTGTGCTCCCCACAGCTGGCTCATCCAGCCCCAGCACCTCTGCTCCTAATGGGGTCATCTGGGAGGCAGTGGGGCCAGTTGTCCCGCTGGGCCCCCCCTTTGTGGGCTGCATCGTGTTCCTCCAAAAGATATGACCGCGTCCTGACCTCCAGGACCTCAGCCTGTGCCCGTATTGGGAAACGGTCAGTGCAGGCCACTCGGGCTCCTAATCAAATAGGCCTGGTGTCCTTACAAAAAGGGGAGGTTTGGACACAGACTGGCACACAGGGAGAAACCGCGTGGAGACGGGGGCAGAGATGGGAGATGAAGCCAGCGAACCCCAAAGATCTCCTGCAGTGACGGGGTGCGGGGTGGGGTGGGGGGCTGGCAGCCTCCTGCAGAGCTCTCAGAGGATTCTGGCCTCCAGACCGTGAGCAGCTGCACATTTCTGTCACCTAAACCCCCAGCTTGTGGCTCTGTCCTGGCAGCCCCAGGAACTGGTACACCCGCAACCGGCTTCCCCAAAGGGAGTGTACTCGCCGCTGCTGACGTCCAGAACAGGCCATGGCTGCTCAGGAAGCAGGGACCTCAGGACGGGCAGCAGCAGGAAATGCGTCCGCAGTGGGCGGATGCGTGTCAGGGTGGCCAGGGAGCTGCGAGCCCCTGCAGGTGGCAGACACAGCTCCGTGGGCATCCTGGGAGCGACCCGGGTAGCCAGCACCCTCCCCTCTGCCTGTCTGACAGGGCAGAGCCCTGCTCCGAGAGTCCTCATGGTGCAAGGTTAACCGAGGTCGTCTGCCACACGCACATCAGACGCTAAGGAATCCACTTGCCTGTTCCCGCGTAACATGGAGAGCCCTGTTTTAGCTGGAGCATTGAGGCCACCCCCTCCCGCCCCACCTCAAGCTGGGGGCTAACTCTGGGTGCGAGCCCTGCCCAGCTGGTCACCTGACCAGATGCTTTGCCTCTGGGAGCCCTGTGGGCCTGGCTTGGGAAGGAGGCGGTGAGGTCTGTCTTCATAGTCGGCCTCTCTCGAGCCTTTACGTTTCTGAAACGGCACATCTGACCGTTACTCCCTGGCTACGAGCTCCCGGTTAAAGTCCTCCGCCTCCTGGATCTGGCCCTGCCTGGCTCTCAGGCCATGGCCACAGGCCCCCGTCCACTCCACCCTGCGCTGCCCCAGGCCCTCCCCATGCCAACCACAGCGGGGACGACCCGTCACTTCTCCCTCAGACCCCAGGGCCTGTGTGCGCCTGGAGCCCAGCCCCAGGGGAACCTGGGCCCTGCCAGTCCTCGGGCTGGGTAACATCGGCCAGCGCCCGGTGTGAGCAGGGGCAGGACGCGAGCTGCGTTTAGACAGTGAGGGGGGAGCTGAGTGGCCAGCACTGGCCTGTCCGGCTGTCGGGGCTGATGATAAGCTGCCGCCAACAACTACCGCTTGTCCCCAGCCCTGTGCATCTGGCCCCTCAAGAAACCCCCGTGCCTGGGCGGAACCCAGTCATCCTGGGCCTGCGAGCTGGAGACCCCGGGTGTGAGCAGGGGCAGGACGCGAGCTGCGTTTAGACAGCGAGGGGGGAGCTGAGTGGCCAGCACTGGCCTGTCCGGCTGTCGTGGCTGATGATAAGCTGCCGCCAACAACTGCCGCTTGTCCCCAGCCCTGTGCGTCCGGCCCCTCAAGAAACCCCCGTGCAGGAGAGAGGTGCCTGGGCGGAACCCAGTCATCCTGGGCCTGCGAGCTGGAGACCCCATTATGCAGGCACCCGCCCCCCAGTGCAAAACACCTCCCTCACCTCCCTCTGGCAAATTCCAGGTCGCTCTTCAAGGCTAGCCCGAGGCTAGCTGTCCCCTGGTATGTATTCGTCCATCTTTCACCCCATGATAGAATCACTGCCCAGCCGCAGGCTGGCCAGCTGGTCTCCCAGCCTCCATGCAGCGGGGGTGGTCATGTGGCTGAACGCCTGCCGATGGGATGGGAGCGGAGGGGACACGCTTTCCTGCCAGGTCTCCAGCGGGGAGCACATGGATCCCTTTCCTCCGCCCTGCTGCCCCAGTGTGGCCTGAGGGTGGCACCGCTCACCTTGGGATTTTACAAAAACAATAAACTTGTTTTGCTGAAGCCACTCCTGTTTGGGGTCTGTTCCCAGGAGCCAGCGGAGTGGGGTGGGGTGGGGTGGGGGGAAGCAGACTCCCTGGGCTCCACTCCAGGTCCCACTGCCCAAGGCGTGAGCTTGGCCACTCATTCAACACGCGTCTCAGGCTCCGCCCCTGGAGCCGTGAGGAGTCCAGTCCCACCCCTGGCTGCGGGGCGGGCGGCCTCGGTTCCCCAGGGAGCCGGGCCTGAGTGCTGGCTCTGCAGCAGCCGAGCGGGAGCCCTGAGGCCAACGCCACCTCTCTCTCTCTCTCTCTCTCTCTCTCTCGATGGTCCTGGGGGGCCGCACCCACCCGTCCCCGGCTCCACAGCACCCCTCTGGATGCTCTGAGCCGCACTGACGGGAACTGCGGCTCCTGGGGAAACGCCAGGGGAAGTTAGCAGATGTGTCATCCACAGTGGAAGGTGAAGTTAAGGGACTTCTGGGCCAAGTAGTGTTTGTCTTTTAACCCCCCCTGAGGATATGTTTTTTTTATTTTTGAGAGAGAGAGGAAGGGAGAGAGAGAAAAACACCAATGAGAAACATTGATCAGGGGTCGAACCCTCAACCTAGGTGTATGCCCTGACCGTTAGTCAAACCTGCAACCTTTTGGGGTACGGGGCCACCCTCCAACCAAGCGAGCCTCTGGCAGGGCGAGTGTATTTTTCGAATAAATGTGACTCTTCCAGGTGACGGCGTTTATATATGAATGATGGGGGGGAGAGGGGGGTGTCTTTCTCATCATCGACTCCTGGTGTTGAACTGCGTGAAGAAGTCGTCCGTGGCTTGGTTGGTACAGACTTCCTTCATGTAGTTTCTCCTGATCATAAAACGAGGAGAAGCCGTCAGCAAAGGCCTGGCGCCCTCGCCTGCCTTTGTGATATAGCGGAGAGCCGCCCACTTCTTGCTGTTAATCCTCACCCGAGAATATTTTCCCCTTGATTTTTAGAGAGAGTGGAAGGAAGGGGGAGAGACAGAGAGAAACACCGATGTGAGAGACACACCGATTGGTCGCCTCCTGCACGCGGCCCGACCAGACTGGGACGGGGATCCAACCTGTGACCTTCCAGTCTGAGGGCCGATGCGCTAACCACTGAGCAACCAGCTAGGGCAGAGCCCACCCACTTGTTGTCCCAGGATGCCTCGCTGCATTTCGTCACCGCGGAGCGTCTAGACTGCGGACCCCCCTGGTTCCAGGGTCCCATCTCCACAGGCGTGACTGGGAGCGTCTGCTTGCCCCAGACTTCTTCAGTCCATGTCTTTACGCCCCTGTAGTCACAGGAGTGACAGAGGGACCCACAGGCAAACAGGTGCACACGTCTGACTGGAGAAATACAGGTGGGTCCCTTCTGAGTTCCAGCCAGGAGCGTGGTGGGTGGACAGACACACAAGTAATCGCACTGTGGGTTTGGTGACATAGTTCCCTGCTGACCGGCGCTGACAGCGGGCAGCCGGAACCCTGAGCCACCCTCAGGGCCTGTGTGTGCCCAGAGCAGCCCTCCCCCCAGTGGGCGGCGGGCACCGTCTCCTCCACGTCTCAGGCCCCCCCAGGGCCCTGCCCTGGACTCTTGCGCCCTCCGAGTACCCATCACCAGCGCCCGTGTGCCAGCCGCTGGGGGTCCCAGGCCCAGGTGAGGAGCCCATTGAGGGGTGTCTTCAGGGTGCCCGCTGGATGGCATCACATCCCCTGGTCTGTGGGGACCCGTGCTTTCCAAGCCCTTAATTTCTGGCTTCTTCGCTCTGGGCCTGACCCCCTTTCTGTTGGCATTCTTTGCCAGGAGGCCGTGCCAGAGCCGAGCCACCACCACCACCACCACGGGGCCTCCTGTGACCCACGCTAGAACCTTCTGATGCTACAATGAGTTCATGATCTCAGGTAAATTTCTGCATCTTAGCTCATTTTTTTTTTTTAAATCCTCACCCGAGGTCATTTTCCCATGGCTTTTTAGAGAAAGCGGGAGAGAGAAATATCAATGTGAGAGACACACATCGATTGATGCCTCGTCAACGAGCCATGACCAGGGCCCAGGCTTGGGGAGGAGCCTGCAACCGAGGTACGTGCCCTTGACAGGAATCGAACCTGGGACCCTGCCGTCCACAGGCTGACGCCCTATCCACTGAGCCACACCAGCCGGGGCTCTCTGCTCATTCCTCATTGCCTTCCAGACCTTCTCTAAAACCCACTGGCTCTTAGGAGGGGAAAGGGCGTTAATGCAGCTGGGGGGGGGGGTCAACCCCTACACCTGGGCAGTGTCACCCGCCAACCTGAGAGTTACTTCCTCCGCTCCGCCCGCAAAAGGGAGGGGCTGGGCCTGCAGCGGAGCCCTCCTTCCCTCCTGGGCTCAGGGCAGGGCCTCCTCCCACCAGAGGAGCAGGGGAGGTCGGCAGCCACCAGGGTCCAGGCCACGCTGCTGCCGCCGCTGCTGCCGCTCGCACAGCACCTCGGCGCGGGCTTTCTCGACCCTCTGCCGGTCCCAGTCCGAGTCTCGCTGGCGCTGTTCCTCCTGGAGCCTCTGGAGAGAGGTGACTCGTCACCACCTGTCCCCACAGAGGGCCCCGGGCACGGGCTGGGAGAACCGGCCTCCCATTTTACAGACGGGGAAACTGAGGCTCTGGTGGGCGGGCAGAGGAGACCCCCCAGACAAACCCACGTGGCCCGGCCCCGTCCCACACTTGGGAGGCACTGGGCACACAAGTGGGCAGGCTGCTGCTCCTGGCTGAACACTGGGCCCACCTGGTCGCTTCTAGAACCTTCTGATGCTACAATGAGTTCATGATCTCAGGTAAATTTCTGCATCTTAGCTCTTTTTTTTTTAAATCCTCACCCGAGGTCATTTTCCCATGGCTTTTTAGAGAAAGCGGGAGAGAGAGAGAAATATCAATGTGAGAGACACACATCAATTGATGCCTCCTCAACGAGCCATGACCAGGGCCCAGGCCCAGGGAGGAGCTTGCAACCGAGGTACATGCCCTTGATAGGAATCGAACCTGCAACCCTGCTGTCCACAGGCTGACGCCCTATCCACTGAGCCACACCAGCCGGGGCTCTCTGCTCATTCCTCATTGCCTTCCAGACCTTCTCTAAAACCCACTGGCTCTTAGGAGGGGAAAGGGCGTTAATGCAGCTGGGGGGGGGGGCCAACCCCCACACCTGGGCAGTGCTGAGAGTTACTTCCTCCGCTCCGCCCGCAAAAGGGAGGGGCTGGGCCTGCAGCGGAGCCCTCCTTCCCTCCTGGGCTCAGGGCAGGGCCTCCTCCCACCAGAGGAGCAGGGGAGGTCGGCAGCCACCAGGGTCCAGGCCCTCACCCAGGGACCGAAAGGCAGGCTGGGGCCTGGCTTGGCCACCTGCAGGGCATGTGAGTTGGCTGCCACCGTGAACCTGTTTCCCCACCTGCACCCTGAGCCCTGGCTCCGATGCTTTCCTCACCCAGCTCCCTGCAGAGGGGCTGCGGGCTGAGGGCAGGGGTGTTCTGAGTGGTGAGACTTAATGTGTGTTTTTTCCCTTTTTTGATTTCTGTTTGCTGGTTTTTCACGAAAATTGAAAATCAGTGCAAATTGCTGCTTTCAGGACAGTGGCCGGCCTTCCGCCAGGCGGCTGGGCTGCGGGAGTGATGCTGGCGCTGGCCCTGGCCGCTCACCTGCCTGGCTCGCTCACGCTCCCCCCACTCAGGTCTTGGTTCCAACGTCACTCCTCAGGCCCCTGGTGACTGCTCGGCCCAGCAGCCCCGCTCCCAGCTTCTCTTTCCACCCCAGGAGAAATATCAATGTGAGAGACACACATCAATTGATGCCTCCTCAACGAGCCATGACCAGGGCCCAGGCCCAGGGAGGAGCTTGCAACCGAGGTACATGCCCTTGATAGGAATCGAACCTGCAACCCTGCTGTCCACAGGCTGACGCCCTATCCACTGAGCCACACCAGCTGCACCAGGCGGATGTCCCCCAGCTGGCTCTGGCTCATGCCCTTCCAGCGGTCGGGGACCACGCGGTGGGGCCCGAAGGAGCTGGCCGCCTGCTGCGGGTCCTCGGAGAGCAGGTCCCCGCGCAGCAGGTTGGAGATGTGGGCCAGGTCGTCCTCTTGTTCTTGTTTTTTCTCTAGACTTTTCCTCTCCGCCAACTCCGAGGCCTGGGCGGGGGGCGGGGCGGGGAAGGGAAGACATTAGGGAAGATGCTTGAGCGACCCCAGGGAGAGGCACCGGCCCATCTCCGGGGCGCCAGTAGGGAGAATGCGCTCAGGGCGCCAGGGAAGGGACCTGCTGCCCGGTGCCGGGCCTGTGGGCTGGGCGGGGCGGAGCGCCACCTGCTGGCCATGTGCAGAGTTGCTTCGGGTCTTCGCGCTGTTCTGCAGCCTCCCTGGGAAGGCCATCCTCACCTTGGCCGGGCCTCACTCACGGGCGGCTCTGTGGCCCGCCCTGGGGCCTGGTCACCCTGATGTGGCCCCTGGTCACCCCGATGTGGCCCCAGGTCACCCCGATGTGGGCCCTGGTCACCCCGATGTGGCCCCTGGTCACCCCGATGTGGCCCTGGTCACCCTGATGTGGCCTGGTCACCCCGATGTGGGCCCTGGTCACTCCGATGTGGGCCCAGGTCACCCCGATGTGGGCCCTGGTCACCCCAATGTGCCCGCAGGCCACAAGGAACAACCCACAGAGCGACTGGCAACAGCAGTGACTTAAAGGGTGAAAACACACGCTCGACTTTTGCTGTAAGTTTCCCGGTGCAGCCGGGAAACTCCTGGCCAAACCCCTGCTCACGAGGGTGGCAATGGCGGGGACGGCCTGGCCCTGCGACCTGGCGCCAGTCACCCCCCTCTCCGGCTGCAGCCATTTCTCTGCCAAGTCAGGAGGTGGATTAGACGTTACCAAGTCCCCTAGCGATGGGCAGGCGGGCTCTCTGCAGGGTGCGGGCACGCCTGGGCGCCCATGAGGGGGCAGCTGGATGGCACCGCGTGAGCACCTGCCTCGACGGAAGGCTGATCAGACACTGGGCTCCTGGGTGGGGAAGGCCCCTCTCCGGTCAGAGCAGCGCTGGGCGTCCCTAGGAAGTCAGTCCCCCCAAGACGCGCTCTCTCAGCGACGTTGGGCTGGCCCCGCCCGCTGTAGGGCTGATGAACACAGTGAGGAGTGAGGGCAGCTGCCTGTGGCCAGGATTTAAAATAAAGGCCATGCTGATGAGTCTGACAACAGGCCAGAGGTTCCAACACGGGGCGTGCATACCTGGTTTAATCCCACGACCTCACACTTACAAAATGGTCCTATTAGACCGTAAAAATAGCATGTGCTTCACAACTCATTCTCAGTGTACACACACGTATAAAACAATGACGAGGTTGCCCTGGCCAGAATGGCTCAGTAGTTAGAGCGGCGCCCACACACCGAAGAGTCTCGGGTTCTATTCCCGGCCAAGGGCACGTCCCTGGGTTGCAGGTTTGATTCCCACTCCGGTGGGGGCATCTTCTGGAGGCAACCCACTGATGTGTTTCTCTCACATTGATGTGTGTCTCTCTCCTCCTTCTCTTCTCTCCCCTTCCCCCCTCCCACTCTCTCTGAAAATCATTGAAAAAAATCTCATTGGGTGAGGATTAACCAAACAATAGAATAAAATGACGAGGGTGGGAATCCAGGTGAGCAGCGCTCCGGTTCTCCTCCTGCTTTGCAGGGACCATCTCCCACCTCCACTGTGCAGACCGCTGTCTGCTCAAGCAGCTCATCCGGTCAAGGCATACAGGCACCTGGCCCTGGCCGGTGTGGCTCAGTGGATAGAGCGTCAGCCTGCGGACTGAAGGGTCCCAGGTTCGATTCTGGTCAAGGGCACATGCCCAGGTTTAGGCTCGATCCCGTAGCGGGTGTGCAGGAGGCAGCGGATCAGTGATTCTCTCTCATCACTGATGTTTCTCTCTCTCCCTCTCCCTTCCTCTCTGAAATCAATTTAGAAAAAAAAAAAAAAGAAAGAAAGAAAACCTGGAGGGAAGTCTAATTTCCAAAGGACCAGAGAACCTGAACCCCTCCGCATAGGCGGGCGGGAGAGCCGAGGGAGGAGGGGACGGTCAGAGACCGCCCAGTGTGCACCCTCATCGGCACAGTTGCCCCCGCTCCCGAGTGCTGTGCACCTGCCCCTGGTGAGGAGCGACTCCGAGGCTGGTAAAGAAGAACCAAAACCAGTCGGCGGCAGGGCAGTGCCCGCTGGCACCCCTGGGGCAGAGGTCACTGTCCTCATATTAAAGATGCACCTGAGCCGAAACCGGTTTGGCTCAGTGGATAGAGCGTCGGCCTGCGGACTGAAGGGTCCCAGGTTCGATTCCGGTCAAGGGCATGTACTTGGGTTGCGGGCACATCCCCGGTAGGAGAAGTGCAGGGTCTATCTCTCTCCCTTCCTCTCTGTAAAAAATCAATAAAATAAAAAAAAAATTAAAAAAAAAAGATGCACCTGAGGCTGAGAAAGGGGAACTGACCCCACCCCACTCGACGGCTGGTTTGCGCTTTCACACCCAGATTCAGAGCTCAGGAGCCGGGTCTGGAGCTCGGCGGTTTCGGTGGCTGGTGCCCCCCACCCCCTCCGCCCCGTCAGGGTTCCGGTTCGTGATGTGGCCCAGAGGACGGACTGAGCCCGGGACCAGGGAGCCTGGCGCCCAGTGGAGCGGTGGGTGCTGGTCCTCCCCGCCCCTCCCCGGCGAGGTTACCTGGGTCTTGTTGAATTGCTTCACAGCTGCGGAGACCGCCCTCCTGGTGGCGCGTTCCCGATGCTCCAAGTCCTGGGCCGTCTGGTCAAACTGCAGCCTGGTCTCCGTGTACAGGTCCTCTGGAGCAAGCACGCAGTCAGGACTGCGCCCCGCGTCCCTCCCGGTGCGCGGGGTGACCTGTGTCTGCTCTTATCCGCCCGCAGCCACCCAGATGCCTCGGGCTGCTGGGAGCCCTGTGTCCGCTCCTATCCGCCCGCAGCCACCCAGATGCCTCGGGCTGCAGGGAGCCTCAGGCCTTAGTTCAAGTAAAGCTCTAGGTCAGCGCCTGGACGGAAGTGTCAGCAGTCGCTACTGTGGATTGGCACTGTCTGCCATGGATTGGTAATGTCTGCCGTGGATTGGCACTGTCTTCCGTGGATTGGTAAAGTCTGCCGTGGATTGGTAATGTCGGGTGTGGATTGGTAATGCCTGCCGTGGATTGGTAGTATTGGCTGTGGATTGGCAATGCCTGCCGTGGATTGGCAGTGTCTTCCATGGATTGGTAAAGTCTGCCGTGGATTGGTAGTGTCGGCTGTGGATTGGTAAAGTCTGCCGTGGATTGGTAATGTCTGCCGTGGATTGGCAGTGTCTTCCGTGGATTGGTAATGTCGGCTGTGGATTGGTAGTGTCGGCTGTGGATTGGCACTGTCTGCCGTGGATTGGCAGTGTCTTCCGTGAATTGGTAAAGTCTGCCGTGGATTGGTAGTGTCGGGTGTGGATTGGCACTGTCTGCCGTGGATTGGCAGTGTCTTCCGTGGATTGGTAATGTCGGCTGTGGATTGGTAGTGTCGGCTGTGGATTGGCACTGTCTGCCGTGGATTGGTAATGTCGGCTGTGGATTGGTAATGTCTGCCATGGATTGGTCGTGTCGGCTTTGGTCCTGGGACAGGGAGCAGTGGGCTCCTTGCCCTCCCCGACTTCTCAGGCCCCTACATCCTTACAACCGGCAAGGGATGGTGGAGCCCAGAGAAAAGGAGCTCTGCCATGGGAACCAGCTGGGGCTCCGCAGAGGAGGGAGGTCAGGGCAGAAGCACTTGGACAGCGAGGAGGACAAGAAGGAGAAGGGGTCAAAAGTCGAGCGTCCAAACAGCATAACGTAAAGCACTGGGTCAGACAGTCTCCTAGCCCAGCCCGGACCTCCCAGCTCTGCTCACCTGACCTGCTTACCACCCGACCTTTCTGAGCCTCGGGCCTCTCCTGTGAGGCAGGGCGGCCCTACTTTGCAGGGTTGTTACATTTTAAAAAGTCAGTAATAAAGAAGGTTCTTCGTACGGTGTTTGTGCCTGGGGTCTCCTGTACGTCTCCAAAAACAAAGACCAATATAGAGGTGATGGATTATACAACTGCACACCTGAAACCTCTATAGCTGTATTAACCAGTGTCACCCCAATAAATTCCATTTAAAAGAAAAAAGACCAAACTCTTTCGTGGTGAATTCTGGCCTCTGCTCACCTTCAGCTTCACCTCTCACCTTGCGTTACCCTGTCCGTTCATTTAACATAGAAGTACAGCGAGCCTTATGTGGGCCGACCCACACCCCGCTGGGAACCCCGGATGGAGTGGTGCCTCCCGGGAGCTTACAGTCCAGGAGATGAGCCGGATGACAAACAAGCAAACCCGAAATAGACGCGTCACTGCAGACTGTTTCAGTGCTACCGAGGGGAGGGAAAGGCCACTGGTGGGGGAGATGTGGGGAGCACCTGGGGGAGGGAAAGGCCACTGGGAGGGAGATGTGGGGAGCACCTGGGGGAGGGAAAGGCCACTGGGGGGGAGATGTGGGGAGCACCTGGGGGAGGGAAAGGCCACTGGGGGGGAGATGTGGGGAGCACCTGGGGGAGGGAAAGGCCACTGGGGGGGAGATGTGGGGAGCACCTGGGGGAGGGAAAGGCCACTGGGGGGGAGATGTGGGGAGCACCTGGGGGAGGGAAAGGCCACTGGGGGGGAGATGTGGGGAGCACCTGGGGGAGGGAAAGGCCACTGGGGGGGAGATGTGGGGAGCACCTGGGGGAGGGAAAGGCCACTGGGAGGGAGATGTGGGGAGCACCTGGGGGAGGGAAAGGCCACTGGGGGGGAGATGTGGGGAGCACCTGGGGGAGGGAAAGGCCACTGGGGGGGAGATGTGGGGAGCACCTGGGGGAGGGAAAGGCCACTGGGGGGGAGATGTGGGGAGCACCTGGGGGAGGGAAAGGCCACTGGGGGGGAGATGTGGGGAGCACCTGGGGGAGGGAAAGGCCACTGGGGGGGAGATGTGGGGAGCACCTGGGGGAGGGAAAGGCCACTGGGGGGGAGATGTGGGGAGCACCTGGGGGAGGGAAAGGCCACTCACTGGGAGGGAGATGTGGGGAGCACCTGGGGGAGGGAAAGGCCACTGGGGGGGAGATGTGGGGAGCACCTGGGGGAGGGAAAGGCCACTGGGGGGGAGATGTGGGGAGCACCTGGGGGAGGGAAAGGCCACTGGGGGGGAGATGTGGGGAGCACCTGGGGGAGGGAAAGGCCACTGGGGGGGAGATGTGGGGAGCACCTGGGGGAGGGAAAGGCCACTGGGGGGGAGATGTGGGGAGCACCTGGGGGAGGGAAAGGCCACTGGGGGGGAGATGTGGGGAGCACCTGGGGGAGGGAAAGGCCACTCACTGGGAGGGAGATGTGGGGAGCACCTGGGGGAGGGAAAGGCCACTGGGGGGGAGATGTGGGGAGCACCTGGGGGAGGGAAAGGCCACTGCTGATCGATGTTTCTCTCTCATCGATGTTTCTAACTCTCTATCCCTCTCCCTTCCTCTCTGTAAAAAATCAATAAAATATATTAAATTAAAAAAAAAGAAGGGACAGAAGCTGAGGATGCCCTGGAGATAAGACGGGGCCCAGGAGGACGCCCAGGCTTCTGGTTTGACTAAGGGAAGGAGGTGACATGAGTAAGGGAGGAAGGTGGAGGGAGAAGCAAGTCCAGGGAGAAATGCAGGGTGTTTCCAGGATGGTGTGAGATGCACGCTGAGATGTCTGGGGTCCAGCTCGAGGACCAAGTCCAAGGCTGAGACAAAGGCTCAGCCAGAGATGGACAAATGGAGCACCTGTGAGTGATCATGTCAACAGATATTTACCCATGTGCCAGGCACTCAGGAAGGAGCAGTGGATAAAACAGACACAATCCCCTGCCTTCATGGCGCTTAGGAGGTGACACTGGGGAGAGGGATGACAAATACATAACCAGACAGCATGTCACTGAGCAATGCGGTGGGGAAAATTACAGCAAGGAAAGGGAAGGGAGCGTGGGGTGGGGGAGAGTTCGGGGTTGCCCTTTATAATAGTAGTCAGTGGAGGCCTCACAGGTAAGACAACATTTTAGCAAAGACTTGAAGGAGGAGAGAGGCAACCATGCAAATATCTGGGGAAATATGTTTCCAGACAGAGGGAACCGTAGGTGCAAAGGTCCTGAGGCAGAAATGAGCCTGACACAGGTACATTCTAGGAATAGCGAGGAAACCAGTGTGGCGAGGATGAGATGAATAAGGGGCGGCCTAGTAGGAGATACAGTCAGACTGAAGGCCTTGTTGGTCCTTGAAATAAATCTGGTTTTTACTGAGTGAAATGTGAAGCTATTGGAAGACTGTGAGCAAAGGCGCTAGCTTAGCTTTTAGCAGGATCGTCCTGGCGGCCGGGCTGAAAAGACGAGGTCCCAAGGGCACAAGGGCAGCAGCAGAGAGACCGGCAGAGGCCACGGCAGCGCTCCAGCTGAGACAGCTGACAGCTTAGTCCAGAGTGCCGATGGCAGAGGCGGTGAAAGGTAGTGAGACCTGGGTGACTTCTGTTGGACTGCATGTAGCATGTGAGGGAAACGCAAGAGTCAAGGTGACTTGGGGCTGGGGCCTGGGCAAGTGCGAGAACTCCCCGTGGACGGAGGTGCAAGGCCAGGTGCAGACTCGCCCTGACAGAGGCCGGACCCAGGGAGGCCCCCGGTCTCCACGCAGACTATCAGCAGCCCGAGGGCAGGGGCTGGTTCTGAGCTACAAGGGGCCCAGCACCCACAGGAGCTCAGACAGAGCGAGAGCTCAGAAAGGGTTTCCTGCATGACTGCCGTGTGGCTGGAGATGTTTCCGCCCTGGACCACAGGTTCTGACGTCTCTCTCCCTCCACGGCCAAGCAATACATAATAAAACTTAAATAAAACAAAACAAAAATGGGAGTTGATTTGCTAAGAGCGCACTGAAATCCCCGTGGGTGCTGTGTCCTCACCTGCATGTTTCTGGTCGGCCCGGGCTTCCTTCCACTCCCTCTGCTGCTGCAGGAACCATTCTCTGTTTTGTTCCTGTTGGAATCTCTGCCTCGCGTGGAAGTTTAAATCCTCTCCCATGAACCTCTGCATCCCCGACACTGTATTCCGTGCGTCGTTGTCTCCCTGCCGGGCGGGGAACTCTCTCCTGCGGGCGAGGGGGTCCGAAAGGTCGAATTCCCGCCGCGTCTCCGGCTTCTGGAAGCTCTGCTGGAAGTCATGGAGAGCTTTGCAGAGATTTCTCCGCCCCCTTCTTTCCCGGTTCTCTAATATGCACATCATTTTGTCATTGTGCCTCAGTTCAGCAGCTAGAAGAGACATAGGTTATCCATAAGCTTAAGATTCAGTGGGAAAAATCAATTGGATTCCACCTTAAAAAATAATTTTTAGTGATTCTAAAAGGAATACAACCCTCCAAAAACGTAACATCCATTCAAGGATTAGAATCCTGAATGTACAAAGGTTTTGAGTCTGATGCCAGGTCTGGGTACATTCCTAGATTTCGGGTTCAAACCCTGGTCGGGGCTCATATGGGACGCAACCAATTGATGTTTTTCTCTCACATTGATGTTTCTCTCTCTCTCCTCCCCCTTCCTCTCTCTCTAAAAAAACCCCCAAAATCAATAAAAACATATCCTTCAGCGAGGATTTTAAAAAATACAAAATTAAATATTTTTAAAGGTCGCAAAGGATCCATTCAATATTATACTAGTTATGTAAAATTTTAAAACACACAAAAGTTTTAGGTGGTCACGGGTACATACATAAATGGTACCAGTACAAAAAAACAAGCATGGGAATGGTGCACACCTCTGAAGAGGGAGGAAGAAAAGAATGACAGGGTGGGGAATATACATATATTTTCAAAAATCATTCTTAAAATATACCTAAAGCCCATTTGGCAAAAAGGTAACATCTAATCTAGTGGTGGGTGCATATGTATGTGTCACATCATTTTTGCAAGTTTGACTTATTTTTAAACTAAAAATATAAAAGGGAAAACATTAAAAAACATAGAACTGTATAAAGAAAATAAACTTCACTCTTAATTTAATCACTCCAACATTACCATATTACAACATTTGGCTTATTTACTTTCTTTTTCTAAGCATGTCTTTCATATATTTAAAAACGTAATCCAGTACCCATTGTATATAAAATTTTGTACCCTGCTTTTTTTCATTTTTTTTAAACAGGAAAAAATAACCAAATTTATTACATATGTACATATGGGAGTTCTGTAAGAATATGGGGCCCCCTCGTCTTCCTATTTTAAAAATTCTTACAGTGCTTTAATAAAATAAACTGAAAGTGTTGCACATGATGAGAATGCTGCTTGAAACTTTTATCTAAAAGCTAGAACACTATCATTTGAACTATGTCTAATTCTGGGGGCGCGAGCTGGGAGTCTGAGTGTGTCATCTAGTGTAAAGGGCTGTCCCTGGCAGAAGGTCTTGAACTCTCAGAAGAGTGTGTGTGTGTTTAAGGTTTTTCATATCCAGTTGGTGTGTTTTTTTTTGGAAAACACATTTATCCTCAAAATGTATTTTCTAGAACACACACAGGATTCAATAGCTGTTTTTCTTTTAACAGAGGAAGAATCAGTGCATTAAGTTGAGCACAAGCAATTGTGAAATTTTAAAAGGAGGAAGAGAGTAAAAAGGACCAGCTTTCACACAGGTGAAGAATGAGGGCTGGCGTCGAAGGCATGCAGCCCTACCCTGCTAGACAGACATTTAGGAAACGCTCACCAAACGTTTCATGCCTGGCTTTCTCAGTTGCTTCTTTTATCTTCCGGTCACACACCTGAATATCCCAGGTTTTTGTATCTCCCTGGAATGGAAAACGAGGGAAGAGGAGTTAAAACCAGATAAATGTATCCCGTTATTAACAATCCTACTTACCTCTTTATCCTCGCCCCACTGTCTTAGTTTCACACCAGGTCTTTTCATACCTGAATGCCTTTGCTTATAGTTGGTTCTTCAACCTATCCTCTTAACTTCCCTCAGAGCTTCCTTCCACCTTACCTTAGTTTACAGATACTCATCCTCACAACACTGCTTAGGCATCACCTCCTCTGGGAAGCCCTCTCTGATTCCCTCTTCCAGCCCCAGTCTGCGTTCCCCTCCTTCACTACATTTTAATGTGACCAATTTAATGTCTGCCTCCTCCATTGGGCCATAAACCCTGAAGGTCAAGAATTGCCTTATTCCTCATCCCCTGGGCCCAGTTCAGGCTTGCCACAAAATAGGAATTTTGTCAAATGGACGGACTGGAAGGAACCCCTGACAATGTAGAAAATCTGGTACAGAGAGAGGAGAGCCCCATTCTAGTCTCTCCTTGGCCACAAACTCCGGGCGACTCCCTCCCACTGCAGGACTCCATTTGCCTGTCTGGCAAGTGGGAGGGAGTATAATTGTTCTGTTAAGGTTTCTCTCATCCTCAGCAAAGTCAATATATCCTCAGCCTGCTGCCATTTGCAGCTGCGCCTGGATCAAGTTTCACTCGAGGGATTCATCTCTTCTTCTCTCCCACGCCTACCTCTCGCTCCCACCTGCCCCTCCACGTTCCCTCCGGGCCCCTTTCCCTGTGGGGACAAGCGAGCGTCCTACCCCCAGGATCCTGTTCCTGGCGTTGAAGATCTGGTTCTGCCTGCCCAGCTCCGCATGTCTCCTCCTGGCCACGCAAAAGGACTGTTCCAGGTCGTTGGGCTGCACTATATCCATGACTGGGAATCCTCAAGAAGCTCTGAGAGCCTTTAAAACGCACGAGTTAAAAAGAGAAGACCACAAAAAATCAAACTGTAGCCCGACGGACCGATGGAGGCTGGCTCCCTAGGCGGTGAGCCGGCGGGGTATGAGCCTGCTCCCCAGGCTTCCCACACAGCCTCCTGCGACCACGTTTCCTCGGCAACGTAAACAGCCCGGTTGCTAAGGAACGGCGGCACTCGCCGTGTTCTCGCTCGTCTCTCGCGAGATGCTGTGAAGGCTTTCCCGCGCTTTTCCCGCCCCGCGTGTGAGGACGCTGCGGAGGCGCGGAGGCCGCAGCCATGGGCCGTTTGGAGCTGCTGCTCGTGGAGAACTTCAAGTCCTGGCGAGGCCGCCAGGTCATCGGCCCTTTCAGGAGGTTCACCTGCATCATCGGCCCCAACGGCTCCGGTAACTGGGACCCGGGCCCCGCCGCCCGCCCGCTGCCCTGGG